CCTCTTTTAGCTGCCTCTTAATTTCTTAGAATGTGTAATTTTCATACTGCAGTTTTGAGCTTCTCTTTTTTGAACTTCTCATAATCTGCTACTGCTAGCAATATCGCATTCGACTTCAGATCGGCCATCACCGTCTTGATGAGCTGTTTCAGTCAAAAACATTGATTCGGTTACTATATGTACTTGCCCCTTAAAGTTCATCAAACACATATCATGGTAGGGTTTTGAAGAACTCACCGATTCTGTAATACTTCGCATGGCATTGTCCGGGACCCAAGCGAGGAGAGGTGGTACAATGAAACTTAAGTTTATGTCGAATATGTTTCTGGGCCATCTTTGTGTTCCTTGTCTATCTGAAAATATGGTTCCTTTGATGTTGAGGTTGATGTCACTTGGATCATACCCAGCAATGCCTCAGATTTCCCATCTAGTCTACACAAAAGAAAGAAAAAAAATGTCAACGTATTAAGTGGAATCCCGCTCCATTGTAGCTGAGAGAGATCCTTATCGACAACATATCAACAGTTATATTATTGTCGATATAACATGAACAACATATCAATGGTGGATAACAACAATAATATGTATCCATTCCATCTACAGTTGAGCGGGATCTCGGCTACAAAGAGGATTGTGTGCGTGTGCGTGTGGACATTATGGATTATGGTGTGCTTACAATGTCAAGCTCAAGAATCTTGGAGATGTGGTGAGGAACATGAGGGGGGTAGTCTTTCCCCATGGATTTGCATCTCAACTTAACATATAATGCAAGGTAGACAGACAGGAACAAGACTTGCATGGCCGGCATGTGAATTCTCCACTCTTCCTGCAAAAACACATCCATTCTTAAACTAGTTAACTGGGAAGCCTCCCTTCTCCCGGGAGAAAATCGAGCTATCCTTGTCGGATATTTCCTTGTGTATCTCTCTTTACGTGACCACTTAACCTTCTAAGGGGATACACGACCGGTTACAAGACAAAATTTTCCTTGTCATTTTGTCATTAATTAACTTTCACCCAACTGATAAAGGATGACAAAGAACTGAGAAGAAGTTCAAATGTGCATAGAAATTTAGGATATAGATTAGATTAATATTTAGCACAAGAAAATAGAACATTAGGCACCTCGTTTGCTTGGGTTTTCGCTGTGTCTGGAAAAATCGCTTTAATAACCCTGTGTTCATCGTCCAAGTATTGATCAAATGAAGCCTGCAAGTTATGCAAGAGCTTGCTTCTGTGAGTGATTGTTCTTGTGTTTAAGAGAGAAAGTGAGAGAGAGAGAGAGAGAGAGAGGTGAACATATATAGTACCGCAGGGGACTCATTGAGAGGAGCATCAAATGTATATCTGAAGTAGAAGGTTAAAGGCTCCCTATGCTGCTTCGTCTTCTTCAATTTTAACACTGCCTCGGCACGGAAAATCCTCCCCTGCTTCTTGATCGGCTTACCCTTCACATTTTCCGGCCCGAAACACATTCCTCTACCAGGACAGAACGAGGGTTGGCAGTGCCCTACATAAAAAAGACCAGCAGCAGCAGCAGCAAACTCACCCATTTTCCTTGACCATATTACACTTGAGCTTAATTTTTATATCACATTTTTCTTCAACGTTAGGTGGACATATTTGTTTATGGAACAAGGCAAGGGAAAAAAAGTCGCAGCATCTTCAATCACACTTCCTTCCCATCTGCCATCAGCTCCACGTGTTATTACTGCATGCAGCAACTGCTTCTGCATTGTGCTCTAAGTCCGCATTTTGGACTCTTACCATACGTACGCAAACATGGTTTAAGGTTTTAAGCACGTTTTTTGTTTTGCTGGGATTCTAGAACCCTAGTCCGGGAGATGGGACGGAATGCCCGTTTTTCTAATGAATAATGCTTTGTCGCATCATTGCTGCCAACAAAGCATATTAACATGTTATTGATACATTTCTGACAATTCATTCTATACAAGAAAACAAGCACCCCACGCAAACACTTGTTTTTGTAATGAACAATGCTTTGTCATATAATTGTTGCCAACAAAACGTATTGACATGTTATTGATGCATTTCTGACAATTCGTTCTATACGAGAAAACAAACCCTCACGCAAACGTCCGTTTTTGTAATGAATAATGCTTTGTCATATCAATGTTGCCAACAAAGCGTATTGACATGTCATTGATGCATTTCTGACAATTCGTTCTATACGATAAAACAAGCACCGTACAGAAAGAATTTCCAAGCATTTCCATTTCACTGAAGAGGAAGGTGAGAGTATAAAATACGCCACTCACTTTGCTTGATTACTAAATTGAAAAGCGGTTAGAGATGAAATATTTTCGACGACAAATCTTTTGCACATGAAGTAGGGCCGTGAAAGATTTGAAATATCAAATGTGTGACTATTTATACCAAAACCCTAAGCAGAGAATATTGATTCAAGTCTCGAGAGGTTCATGTGGGGTGGAAGCCAAGTACAAATTGGGGAAGTGCAATTGATGGAAGTGGATAAAGGTTCTTACGCAAGCTCAAAGATTCGACATTTTTTTCCAATTGGATATATGTGATGGTGACTGGTTAGGCCTAGGACAAGACTTCCATGTCCCCTAGTCATAACATGTAATAAATGTGTTTTTGATGATGGACTGTTAAATGGTGTCGTTTAAGATTAAAAAAAAAAATGTAATTGCCACTCTAAAAAAGTTATTTAGTACTATAAATCTATAACAGCTTTATAAAATATACGTTGAGTATCGTCTTAGAGTTGGATTTACATCGGTTGGAGGTTGAACGGAAAAGGATTTATCATCACCAGATAAGTAATAACATAAACTATCCATGTTGAAGGCCAAAGATGAAAGTGAAACCAAAGAATGGAACGAGTTTATCAATAGAGTAAATTATAGCAACGGTCTCTTAATTTTAACTCAATGCGGCCATGGATATGTATGTCAATTGTGGCCAATTGGGTATGGAAACACGGGTGTTCGAAGTATTGGAGGAGCGGAGTGTAGTCTCGTGGACTGCGATTTTGGACGGTGTGGTTAAATTGGATGGTGTTGGAAATAGGAGAGTGGTGTTTGATCAAATGAATGAGAGAAATGAGGTTGCTTGGACGATCATGATTGTTGGATATCTAAGTATTGGGGCTTATCTGCGAAAGCTTTTCGCTTCTTGAAGAAATGGTTTTCGGGTGTTTCTTGAAATTGAATTTTGTCACCCTTTGCTCATTTTTATCAGCATGTGCACAATCCGGCGATAGGGTGACGGGCAGTTGGGTTCACACTTATGCTTTAAAGACGATGGAGAATGAGATTGACATCATGGTTGGCACAGCATTAGTTGATATGTATGCGAAATTTGGCACAGTACACTGCGTTAAAAGTTTTTGAGCAAATGCACCGATGGAACGAGCAATGCATGGGAGGGGAAAACTAGTTCTGAATATGTTTCCTCAAATGCTCGAGGTAGCCAAGCCAGACGAATTAACCTTCATTGCTTTGTTGAGTGCTTGCAGCCACTCGGGCCTTTTTGATCAGGGCCGGCATTACTTTTATAATCTTTATGCGTTACATGGTGCAACACCTCAGATCGAACACTGTGCGTGTATGGTGGATCTGTAAGAGTATGAGTGTGATTCATACGGTTTGCTAATAATCCTTGATGCCACAGATTGCTATAAAGAAGTCTTAACATGTTTGTGAGAGTTAATTCGACTTTGGTTTGGATTGAAACTCCATGTTGATAAGCTTAGGAATAGGACTCATACTTGTATAAGGGATGCAGTCTTGTCTTCCTTGTAGGATTGTTATAGGGCAATCCAGGTCTTGTAGTATAAAGCCACAAGCCCCTGCTCTCACAAAAGACGCTCTTATTGTTCCAATTATCTATAAGTTGGAGAGTTTTGCAGATAGGAGAAGGTTGTGTGCAGGTTTTCATGTCTACAGGTATGTGTTGGTATAATTGCTGCAGTTCTTACACTTGTATTACATACATAATTTAAGGATTGTGATTTAGTTGATTAATCCTTGTGTTCTTGGCTAGTGTATTAATCTTTCAAGTCTAGTTTGCTCTTACACTGTGCGTGTATGGTGGATCTTCTAGGCAGGGCTGGTAATTGGAAGAGGCTGAAGTCTTGATCAAGCAAATGCCATGCCTCCGAACTTGGTGGTTTTGGGTTCCCTTCTCGGTTCTTGCAGAGTCCATGGAAAGCTAGAGCTTGGTGAAAGCCTTCTGCAGGAGCTGGTTCAAATGGAACCCCACAACACAGATTATCACGTCCTGCTTTCCAACATGTAATGCTTAAAATGGAAAGCAGTATAAGGCAAACTTACTGAGGCAGGATTTTAAGTATAAGGGTTGACGAAAGCTTCCCGGAATAAGTTCAGTTTATATCATCAGCCCAGTGCAGGAGATATGTCGCACCCGAGTACAATGGAGAGCTACATGAAATTAGATGAGATGATATAGAGACTGAGAAGGATCAATGGACAAACACAAGAAAAAAGATTGCAGGAGAAATGAGAAAAGGAGAGTGAAAATCAATACTTTGTCGGTTCATTTAAAACTTGTCCGCAGACGTGAATTAAGTCAGTTGATTAGAACAATTATCTTATGCGGGACTAAATTTATATCGCAATAGAATAAAATAGTTTTTGATTTTGGCTTTTTAGCCAAAATGGTTTTTGAAATTGGTATAACCCCTCACTTTCGTCCATAAGATTGTCCATTGTCAATTATTTTAGTCATTCCGCAAAAAATCTCCATTTGATATTTTTGCCAAATCAACCCCTCAAGTTGAATTAGTGGTTTCTTTATTTAACAGAGATTTTTTTTTCACAAAATGACTAAAATGATTGATAATGGATAATCTCATAAACCACTTACATTGATGTTAAATTTCAAAAACCAAAGTGACGAGTGATGACAATTTCATGAAGTATTGTAGCAAAAAAGTCTATAATATTTCTCGTCGGAATAGTAGTTTAGGATATCTCTTTGTGCAAATAGGAATGTGGGGTTGCATATGTGATACATTTATTATATGACGTTTTGCAATACGATAGAAAGGAAGTTCTAACAGGGGATGTAGCTCAAATGGTAGAGCGCCCGCTTTGCATGCGGGAGGTACAGGGTTCGATCCCCTGCATCTCCATTTTTTTTAATTTTTGTTATTTTTATAGGCAAATTCTCCCTCCTCTTTTAGCCGCCCCTTAATTTCTTAGAATTTACTGCAGTTTTGAGCTTCTCTTTTTTGAACTTCTCGTAATCTGCTACTGCTAGCAACAGTGCATTCGACTTCCGATCAGCCATCATCGTATTCCCGAGCTGTTCAGTTGAAAACATTGATTCGGTTACTATATGTACTTGCCCTTTCATTTTCATCAAACACATATCATGACGGGGTTTTGAAGAACTCACGGATTCTGTAATGTTTCGCATAACATTGTTTGGAACCCAAGCAAGGAGAGGTGGTACGATGAAGCTTAAGTTTATGTCGAATATGTTTTTGAGCCAGCTTTGTGTTCCTTGTCTATCTGAAAATATGGTTCCTTTGATGCTGAGGTTGAAGTCACTTGAATCGTACCCAGCAATGCCTCGGATTTCCCCTATAGTCTGCAAAAAAAGAAAAAAAAATGTCACCATATTAAGTGGGATCCCGCTCCATTGTAACTGAGAGAGATCCTTATCGACAACATATCAACAGTTGTATTATTGTCGATATAACATGAACGACATATCAGTAGTGGATAACAACAATAATATGTATCCATTCCATATACAGTTGAGCGGGATCTCGGCTACAAAGAGGATTGTGTGCGTGTGCGTGTGACATTATGGATTATGGTGTGCTTACAATGTCAAGCTCAAGAATCTTGGAGATGTGGTGAGGAACATGAGGGGGGTAGTCTTTCCCCAAGGATTTGCATCTCAACTTAACATATAATGCAAGGTAGACAGACAGGAACAAGACTTGCATGGCCGGCATGTGAATTCTCCACTCTTCCTGCAAAAACACATCCATTCTTAAACTAGTTAACTGGGAAGCCTCCCTTCTCCCGGGGGAAAATCGAGCTATCCTTGTCGGATATTTTCTTGTGCATCTCTCTTTCATGCGCTTATATCTAGGGATGGGCAATCGGGTCCTGGACCTGTATATCAGGACGGGTCCAAATTTTTTTAAAATTCAACATGGGACGGGGCGGGCCGGGTCCAGGTTAATATCGGGTATTTGGAAGAAACGGGCCCCCGGCCCGAACCAACAATTCAATACAAAACACTGATTTCCACCCCCTGTATGAATTTGAACCATTGGACTGTAGTGCAGGAGCTCCATAACATCCGCACTTTTTCATCTGCAATTTCGCCAGAGGGATATAGAACCTCCTTCTCCGCCATCAGTCACTTTCCGATACAAATTTGCAGAAGGTGACAAACCCAAATCGATCCAACAGAAAAGCAGAAAATGAAAAGGAAAAAAAAAAAAAAAACAACGATCTTTATCACCCATTCTTCAAATCCAAAAGACCCAATTGAAAATAAAACCCAAATAGATCCAGTTATCCCATCAGATCTCAGAAATTAGACAAATTGAAAAAACCCCAGCAAATCTTAAAGATCTCTAGCAGGTCTCGATCTCGTTGGCAACACGGAGGATCTGAGCTTGAAGGCGGTGGTGGCCGCACTCCTCAATCCGTGGAGAAGGTGTTGGTGGTCAACTCATCTTCTTTGTTCTTCTGTGATTTCCATTTTTAGGATTGAGGGTTTTGCGATTGGGGGAGAATCCCCAATCTTTGTGTAGGGATTGAAAGGGTTAAATGGGAATGAGAGACTTGAAGATGAAGAGAATTAGAAGGATTGCATTCTTGTTGCCATGATCCGACATCTCCTTGAACGATCGAGAGAGCTAATGAAGAAGAGAAAAAAAAAATTAACAAAAAAAAAAGAAAAAAAAAAAACACAAAAACAAAAAAGAGGCCTGGCCGTATTAGGTCTGATTCTTGTATTAAAATTTATTGTACCCGTCTCAGCCCAGCCTGTTTCTTTTAAACCCGAGTCTGGTCTATTACCTTCAAAATTGGGCCCAACCCTACGTATATCTCTCTCTTTACGTGACCATGTAACGTTCTAAGAAGAAACACAACCGGTTACAAGACAAATTTTCTTCTCGTGATTTTGTTATTAATTGACTTTCACCCAACTGATAAAGGATGACAAAGAACTGAGAAGAAGTTCAAATTTGCATAGAAATTTAGGATATAGATTAGACTAATATTTAACACAAGAAAATAGAACATTAGGCACCTTGTTTGTTTGGGTTTTCGCTGTGTCCGGAAAAATCACGTTAATAACCCTGTGTTCATCGTCCAAGTATTGATCAAATGAAGCCTGCAAGTTATGCAAGAGCCTGCTTCTGTGAGTGATTGTTCTTGTGTTTAAGAGAGAGAGAGAGACAGAGAGAGAGATAGGGAGAGATGAATATAGTACCGCAGGGGACTCATTGAGAGGAGCATCAAATGTATATCTGAAGTAGAAGGTTAAAGGCTCCCTATGCTGCTTCGTCTTCTTCGATTTTAACACTGCCTCGTCACGGAAAATCCTCTCCTGCTTCTTGATCGGCTTACCCTTCACATTTTCCGGCCCGAAACACATTCCTCTACCAGGACAGAACGAGGGTTGGCAGTGCCCTACAGAAAAAAGACCACCACCAGCAGCAGCAAACTCACCCATTTTCCTTGACCATATTACAATTGAGCTTAATTTTTATATCACATTTTTCTTCAAGGTTAGCTGGACATATTTGTTTATGGAACAAGGCAAGGGAAAAAGAGTCGCAGCATTTTCAATCACACTTCTTCTCATGGACCATCAGCTCCACGTGTTATTACTAAATGCAGCAACTGCTTCTGCATTGTGCTCTAAGTCAGCATATTCGACTCTTATCATACGTACGCAAACATGGTTTTAAGCACCTTTTTGTTTTGCCGGCATTCTACGTGAGATGGGACAGACGTCCCTTTTTTTAATGAATAATGCGTTGTCGTATCATTGTTGCTAATAAAACGTATTGACATGTTATTGATGCATTTCTGATAATCCGTTCTATAAAACAAGCACCTTACACAAACGTTCGTTTTTGTAATGAATAATGCTTTGTCATATCATTGTTGTTAACAAAGCGTATTGACATGTTATTGATGCATTTCTGACAATTCATTTTGTACGAGAACACCCCACGCAAACGTTTGTTTTTGTAATGAGTAGCTTTGTCATATCATTGTTGCCAACAAAACGTATTGATGCAGTTCTGATAATTCGTGCTATACGAGAAAATAAGCACCGCACGCAAAGAGTTTCCAAGCATTTCCATTTCACTGATGAGGAAGGTGAGAAAATAAAATACGCCACTCACTTCGCTTGGTTACTAAATTGAAAAGTGGTTAGAGATGAAATATTTTGGACGGGATGACAAATCTTTTGCGCATGAAGTAAGGACGTGAAAGATTTGAAATATCAAATGTGTGACCTTTTACCAAAACCCAAAGCAGTGAATATTGATTCAAGTCTCAAGTGGTTCAGGTGGGTTGGGAGCCAAGTATAAATTTGGGACGTGCATTTGATGGAAGTGGGTGAAGGTGGTTACGGTATCAAGCTCAAAGATGTAACATTTTTTTCCCTTGGTGTGATTGGTGATGGTGCCTGGTGAGGCCTAGGTCAAGACTTCCATGTCCTCTAGACATAAAGGAATTAGATCCCATTTGGATTCACTTTATAGAAATTCTAAAAATTCTCACATTTTAATTATTCATCGTATATCGTGCAGTTAGAAATTATTTGATTTTTTTTATTTACAATTAAACACAAATAATATCTGACGAAAACTGACAGCATAATATACAATGAATGGTTAAAATGTGAAAATCCCTACAACATGGATCTAGAGATGATCCTTTTCCTACCCGTAACATGTATCTATAAATGTGTTTTTGGTGATGGATGATTGTTTACAACGATGTTGTTTAAGATAAAAAATAAAAAAAACAAGTGTAATTGACACTCTAAAAAAAATATTCAGTACTGTAGGGGTGTGTTTATTTAGCATCACTAACCTTCACTGGACTAGATATGACTAGTTATTAGTGAAGTCATATGTTTGTTGCAGAGAGGGACTAGGTTTAATAGGACTGGCGTGGACTAACACCTTCGCTAGAAGGTCTTAGCCAGGCCCCCCAAAAATTAGAGGACTGCTACTCCCATTTTCTCCTTCATACGCTAGCATCAGAAACCCAACCATGCCCATGATGCAGAAACCTAACCATGCTCATGATGCAGAAACCCATATGCAACACCTAACCATGCCAGATGCAGAAACCTAGATGCAACACCTAAATCTCAAAACAATAACAACAATCCCAATAACAGTGTCCTGTGCACAATTTCAGCAAAGGCGCGACGAAGCCTCTGTACAACCGACAATCCAACGAAGCATCTGAAAATTCTGACGAATCATCTGCACAATCCGACAAAGTCTCTGCAAATTGAAAAAAAAAAAAACAATTTGAAATTTTTCTGGGTTTGATTTGAATTCTTCATTGTAATTGATATTGGAGAAATTGGGTACAATATTTGGATTATGGGTTGAAGTACATATTCACAATTTCCTAAATTGTTGATAGGAAATGAAATGAAAAGAAGACGAAAAGTTATGGGCGGTGCGAAGAAGACCGGGATGAAAAGAAAAGAAAGGTAGAGAGACGGGAGAGAGAGTGAGCCAAATAAAAAAGCATAGAATAGTAATAATAAAATATAAACAAGATAAATTAAAAATTGACAAAAAAAATATTTAAATTCCAATAATAATTTAGTTCATGATTTAGTCTGGTACTGCATCTAACACTTCACTACTTTTATGTCTTAGTCCAAGTCTAGCTAGTCAAGTCCGAAATAGTCCGGTACAACAAACGCATTATATAACAGCTTTGTAAAATATAGGTTGAGTATCGTCTTAGAGTTGGATTTACATTGAACGGAAAAGGAATTTTAATCATCATAAGAAAAGTAATAACATAAACTATCCATGTTGAAGGCCAAGGATGAAAGTGAAACCAAAGAATGGAACAAGTTTATCTATATTATCCCGGATAAATCTAGCCAAAACAAAACATCAAGTCTTTGAAACAAGCAATTACATCAGGCGGGGTACGAAGTTCAAACGCTAAAATAATGCTTTGTCATATCATTGTTGCCAACAAAGCGTATTGACATGTTATTGATGCATTTCTGACAATTCATTCTATATGAGAAAACAAGTACCCCATGCAAATGCCCTTTTTTGTAAGGAATAATGTTTTGTCATATCATTGTTGCCAACAAAACGTATTGATATGTCATTGATACATTTCTGGCAATTCGTTTTATATGAGAAAATGAGCACTTTATGCAAAGAGTTTCCAAGCATTTCCATTTCATTGATGAGGAAGGTGAGAATATAAAATACGCCATTCACTTTGCTTGGTTACTAAATTGAAAAGCAGTTAGAGATGAAATATTTTCGACGGTAAATCTTTTGCACATGAAGTAGGGACGTGAAAGATTTGAAATATCAAATGTGTGACTGCTTACCAAAACCCAAAGCAAGAATATTGATTCAAGCCTCAAGTGGTTCATGTGGGGTGGGAGCCAAGTACAAACTGGGGAAGTGCATTTGATGGAATCCAGATTCTTGCCCGATTCTGTTCGTAAGGATTGTATAGATTCGTAAATTGTGTTCATTTATTGTATATCATGCAGTCAAAAATTATTTTAAATATTTTATTTAAAATTAGACACAAATAGTACCAGATAAAAACTGATCACATAATGTACAACAAACGGACATAATACACGAATCTCTAAAATCTTCACCTAAAATATCCGTAGAGGATCCTATTGGCATTTGATGGAAGTGGATGAAGGCGCTTACGGCATCAAGCTCAAAGATTTAACATTTTTTTTTTCCAATTGGATGTATGTGACGGTGTGATTGGTGATGGTGACTGGTGAGGGCCGTGAGGCCTAGGATAAGATTTCCATGTCCCCTACCCATAAGGAATTACTGTGAACACGAAAGTTCCTTGAAACAAGAAACAAGAATAACGTGTACAAAATAATATTTTTTGTGTTTGATGATTTTGGGGTTACGATCTCTCTCAAATTTGGTCCTCTGATTCTATCTTCGTAAGATGTAGATTTGTTGATCCAAGGGCCGTCGAGGCTTGATCTTGGATGAACAGTTGTAAGTTTCTTCAAGGGCCTTCGTGGCTTTGATCTTGAAGGTTGATGGAAGTTTCTTCAAGGGCCTTCAGGGCTTGATCTTGAATGTTGATGGATGAGCGGATCTTCAAGGGCTTTTGGGCTTGATCTTGAAGAACGGTTGGTTTTCTTCAAGGGCCGTTGAGGCTTAATCTTGAATGAACAGTTGGTTTTCTTCAAGGGGGGCTTTTGGGCTTGATCCTGAAGAATAGATGTGTGGATTTGTTTGTTGATCCAAGGGCCGTCGGGGCTTGATCTTGGATGAACGGTTGTATGTGTGGATTTGTTGAGGTTGTTGATCCAAAGGGCCGTTGGGGCTTGATCTTAGGATGAACGGATGAACACTTTCTTCAAGGGCCGTCGGGCTTGATCTTGAAGAATGGGTGTATGGGTTTGTGGATGAGTTGTTGATCCAAAGGGCCGTCGGGGCTTGATCTAAGGATGAACAGTTGATGAATGATGAACACTTTCTTCAAGGGCCGTCGGGGCTTGATCTTGAAGGAAGATTTGACGAAGAACGAAGAGTGCTTTCTTGATCCTTCGGAATTCTTGGGAATTTGGATGCTTGAGAGCTTTGGAGTTTCAAAGCTTCAAGGATTTGGGGAATTCTCTCCCAATTTTGGAGTAGAGAAATGTATTTGTGAATTCCTTGATGCTTGATACCTTGATGGAGAAGCCTATTTATAGGCTTTGAGAATGAATCACCACCACAAAATATTTTTTTCCTTTCCAAGCACCATTGCCTAATTTTCCCACTTAATGCAATATTGAAATTGAAGTGGTGTAACTTATGGCCTAATTTCCTACTTAATACCATTTTAAACTTGAAGTGGTGTAACTTATGGCCTAATTTCCCACTTAACACCATTTTAAACTTGAAATGTGTATGCTTTGTCATTGCCCAAATGAGAAAAACTTGCTTTGATCCGTAAGGGATTGACGTGTGCTTGTCTTGTCATTGCCCAACATGAGAAGAAAAACTTGTTTTGATCCTCAATGGATTGAAATGTACTTGCCTTGTCATTGCCCAAAATGAGAAGAAAAACTTGTTTAATCCTTCAAGGGTATTTCTTCCTATTTTGTTGAGTCACACGCCATGTGTACAATTTGTACAACACGTGGCGTATGCCATGTATGCCTTGACACGTCAAAACTTTAATGCATTGGTGAACATTTGTTTCACCAAAATTTCGATGTCTACAAATGCCCCCACTTCAAGGCGCGTTGTAGACATGTGCTTGTCACGTGTAGAAGATGCGTTTTGAAGTCCCTTAATGTTGATGTCAACCCAAGGGCCGTTGGGGCTTGATCTTGAATTGGGCTGGAAATTTCTTCAAGGGCCATTAAGGCTTGATCTTGAGTTCGACTGGAAGATTTTCTGGTTTCCTCCAATCGTTGATTTTCCACAGGCTTAGTCATGAACTGGGCTGGAAATTTCTTCAAGGGTCATTGAGGCTTGATCTTGAGTTTGACTGGAAGATTTCCTGGTTTCCTCCAATCGTTGATTTTCCACAGGCTTAGTCTTGAATTGGGCTGGAGGATTCTTTTGGTCTCCCCCGAAGGCCTGAACTTACTCATTTTATCTGGAGTTGAATTTGATTCAAGGGTGGTGAACACTTGA